GTTGGGATTTTTAAGGATCTTCCATCATTGTTGTAATTTTGTGTTTCTTGAGGGAATTATTTATATTTATTGTCTGCATTAAGTGCTTAATGCATGTAATTTTGTCTAATAGATTTTTCTTATCCATACAGAGTTACCAGCTTTTGAACTCAGACGATCATGCCAATTTTCTGAGAAGAAATAACAAAAATCCTGCTGATTACCGGCCAGACATTGCCCATCAGGTACTGAACTTTTATAGTCTAGATCCTTTTTGTTGAAAAGTTCAGTTGCTTTAACTTTTTGCTGTTTACATATGGTCTACACTGGTATATATAAGTCTAAATCATGATTATCAGGAAACACCAGCATCCCAACAATTTATGTTCCCAAAACATTGTACATTTTCATTTGAGAACACCTACATTCAAAAAACATTGTACCACGTTCATTCTAGAACACTGAGTATAATGATTAGAAAAAGTTGGTTCTTATTCCTTGGTTTAGTTCTCCTATAATAAGATGAAACATTCAAAAAGGATAAAACAAAAAATTATGAAATAGAGGATGTTTGCAGGAGATGAATAAAAGAGGGCCATAGTGGAAGAAGAACCACTCCACATTTAGAACTGTCTAATTACATTCCAACTATGTAATATGTGTAGCCGTAAAACCAAGGTATTTTGAGTGTTTATACAATTTTCCTGTCCTCTTTGTTGTTTTGTGAGGGGATTGGGGACAGTCATGGGCCATATGGGGTGGGTTTGTGGAAGAGCATTATGAAGGTGAGATGAATTTACTAAGAGAATCGTTTTTAAATTGGGTAATGGGGGTAGAGTGAAGCTTTGGCTTGACTTGTGGCATGGTCACTTTTTGGAGGATTTGTTTTCCTGATTTATTTGATTTGGTAATTGGTAGTGAACAAGGATGCTTCAGTTCAGGAGAACTTGTTGGTTTCAGCCTCAAAATAGTGCAGCGGAGTGGAGTTCGTTGGCCATTTTGATCGACTTACATTTTGTTCTACATAGTTGCATTGTCCAAAACTTAGTTTGATTACAATATTTTTAGCAGCCAGTTGGCTGCTTCTCTAGTTAGTATTAATGAGGCTTATGTTAAATTGTATTAACTTGTTTTTTCAACCACACTGATCATAAAGTTGATGCCTTGCAGGCTATCCTAGCAATTTTAGATAGCCCCCTCAATAAAGCTGGGAGATTACGAGCATTGTATGTGAAAACGGAGAAAGGTGTTCTGTTTGAAATTAAACCATATGTTCGTATTCCAAGGACATATAAGCGCTTTTCTGGTATCATGTGTAAGTTACCCAAACACTTATTTTGCTATATATACTATCTTTTCTTTCCATTGTTTGCCTTGTAGGAATTCCATTGTCTTTCTCCTACTTTCTAAGTCTCTCAATAATCATTTCAGTGCAGCTGCTACAAAAATTGAGTATAACTGCTGTTGGTAAGCGTGAAAAACTATTGCGTGTGATCAAGAACCCGGTAACACAGTATTTACCGCTCAACTCTCGTAAAATAGGTAAGCAATCCTTTTAAGGGTTCTTATCTGATGAATTGGCATCAAGCAGAAATGATAAAATTGCATTCTTGCATATCAGGCTTCTCCTATAGTTCAGAAAAATTGGTTGATATACGAGACTATGTGGCTGCTGTCAGTGATGATGTGAATTTTGTTTTTGTGGTATGTCTGAAGCTACTCATGCTTTAAATTTTGGATGCACTTGATTGGTATCACATTCTTGACCCCATGCATGTACAGGTTGGTGCAATGGCCCATGGGAAAATTGATATTAAGGATTATGCAGATGATTTTATCTCAAGTAAGCTAATTCTGAATTTTTTTCTTAACTTTCTTGAATAAATATTTGTAGTAGAAATTACGCCTCGTACACATCTTTTCACATCTAATTTCCTTTCTTTGGTGTACTTGGCATCTTTGTTGGTGCTATCTAGATGGTAGTGGTTTAGTTGGTTTAGAATCTTATTTACATGTGCTGAAGGAATTGGTATCTTGTGTGTGGACTATTGGAGATTGAATGCCTATTTTAGAAGCACGAACATGGACATGGGACAAAATGATTTTAAAAAAAAATAAGACACGAACACGGAGGGAATATGACAAAATTTTTAATATACTTCCATTTGCCATTTATATGAATATAAACTTAGGACACATAGATAAAGTGGCATCAATATATATATATATATATGTGGGTGTATTTTTTTTTCACTTGTTCCCCTTTATTTCTATATATTTTACTTCGATCTAAATCTACTTTCTAAAATATTTATGAAAAAGAAAATACATCGGAACACAGGACGCGTGTTAGTGAAGTGTCCCCAATGTGTCCTACAGGAAAAAAATAATAAGATAGGCATGTTTGACACACGGACACATGTGAATGCGGCATGTCGGTGTTCCGATATGTGTCAGACGTGTAAACATCATCTATTTTGGAGTGTCCGTGCTTCCTATGTATTGGACACCGACACAGCATCCATTTTGGAGTACTTGTGCTTCCTGGACGCCTATCTATTACAAACTATATTGTGCATTGGTTGCGTTGGAATTTATTTGCATTCTTGATCAAGTTGTATTAACCCTCAAGGTAGACTTGTTGGTTGAAAGTTGCTGAAGAATGTCTTCTATATACTTATGAGCAAATAACATATCATGTATAGTCTTCTACTATCAAATCCATCTATGGAGTAGCACTGTAATTTTGGGTTGGTTGACATTATAACAGTTTATATATCCAACTATATTTATATATAGATTACAAAGTTTTAAGGTCCTTTAAGTCACATATACATACCACCTTACTCAAAGTTCTCATGAGCATACTGCATAGGTCTCATAAGCATTCTGCAGTTGTTCATCTTGTTTGTTTGTTGATGTTTCTTGGACCCTTTGCTTCAGCCTGGAATACCCATATCGACACCACATAAGATGGTATATATGTGCATATTCAACACTTGAAACTAAATTAGATGGGAGGTAGAAAAGTTACACATGGACATGCTTTGACCCCCATGTAATGTAGAGATCTAATCCAGAACTGATTGTTCAAGTAGATATTGGTCCCAACTTTGAAGATTATATGTTCTAATATGGTGTTTAATATCAATTGTTAATTGGTTGCATAATTATGGTACATTCTTTTGTTGTCCTTTTTTTTTTTTATTTTTAATTTTTATAAATCCCAACTCCCAATTTGTGCAGTTTCTGGTTATCCAATGAGTGCAGCAGGCTGTATTTCAAGAATTTGTGGTGGTTTGGAACACAAGTGGAAAATATTGTAAGCCCAGCAATCATTCAAAGTATCATCTACATATTTGGCGCTTTACATCTCATTTTGTGGTGGTAAATGTATTCATTTGGTGCCATGAACCATGGTTCTATGGAATTTTGAATTATAGTTTGTGAGTTCCTTCCAATTCTCACTTTTTCCGAAGTAGGGATTGTTATCTATCCTGCACTTGTAATGTGATTAAGGAACATAAATTTTTATGTTTATTTATGCTTTATTATTTTCAAGTGATTGATGTAGAAAATTTTCATTGAAGTTTTTTATGTTCTTACGTAGTTATTGTCACGCAAGCTTGATTATGGTTGATGAAATAAATTGTTGCTGGAAAAAGTCTGGGGAAATCATACAATTTTGCTGTTAGAAGTTTGGTCGGTCTGAGGTTAGGTTGCATTGAACACTAGCCCAGTCCCAACTAAAATTTGTTTGGTAATGCTTCCCTTTCCTGTTTTCTTTTTTCGTTTTGATTTTTTTGAAACCTGGAAATGAAATCTTATTTTTATTGGTATGAAATCTTATTTGATATATTGCTTTTGTTTTTAAAAAAATTAAATTGATCTAAAACATGTCCAAAAAAAATTTGAAACAAAAAAATGGTGTGTTTTACTTGTATTCAAAGCGGGTTTCACATTTTTTGCCCTCTCTTCCAACCACACCGGCCTGTGGCACCACTGGTCACTAGTGACCTCTAGCCAACTCCGGCCACCTTTTGGCTGTTAGCTAGTAACTACACGTAATCTCTGGCCAGCTTCTGGCCACTAAGTCTGTAGGGTACTTCAAGCTGTCACCACCGACAAGTAATCTCTGGCCAGCTTCTGGTAGCCCTCTATGTCCACCAACTCTGTAGGGTTCCTCAAGTTCCCGCCACTGACGATGACAAAGATATTTTTATAATTTAATGAAATAGATCAAAGTCATACCACTGATGCAACAACCACCACGTCGTTGATTACGTTGCACTTGACTGGCGTTGGTGCAGCCTGACTTCCCAATGAGATAAAAATAGAGGGGCAAGAGGCGAGAGTAAAGACGGAAACCATATCAAGAATGTATGTGACAACACTCTGAACATTTTTCTCATAAATAAATGAAAGGCATTAACTATTTTAGTCTAAAAGACCCACTTTTCCAATGGCAGTCAATCATCTTATCTCTCTCATATTTTCTCTTATCATTAATCAATTATTTTTCTTACCCATTTTAAAGTCTAGAAAGTAGATTTAGAAAATAGACTTGTATATTATTTTTTATAAATAAATTATCGGTATGTATTATTGTTTGAAAGATAGAATGAAAATGACCCACAAGTTCTTTATTTTAATGAGGACTTCACATCGATGATAGTAGTGTGATTGAAGCATAGCCATCATATGGTGAGTGAGCTAGCCCAATGAAGAGGAGAGAAAAAATGTGTGGAAGGGAAAATGGAAGAGCCAAAAGTTCTTTATCCCTTCATTCACACCATGAACCACATGTCAATTCCAATACGGCACATCTTTTCTTCATTTTTTTGATTTTTGTTTTTTGTTTTTTTCAATTTTGGTTAAAGATATTAAATATTATTTCTATTTGATTTGAGAATTTCGTCGAATACTTGGCATGTTACACCAGTGATATTTTTTTTTTTTTTTTTTCCTGATCTTCAAACCTCTCATGTGGCAGGTACTCTCGGCTATATTGCCTTGGCATGTTACACCAGTCTTTTTTTTTTTTTTTTTTGCATGTCTGTACCAAACTTCGAATTTTAACAAACACTTGGGTATTTCTGACTCAAGTATGTGGTATTCGTTGATCACAGAATAATTACCCATTGAATTGTGTGAAAGTACACAGATTGAACATATTAGTGAGTAGTTGGAGAGAGAAAAGAAGCAAAGCCCCAAGAAGACTAACCATTTTAGAACCCTGGGGATCTACTTGTTGAAAAATTAAATAAAAAAAGTGACCCACGTTTAGACTAAAATGGTAGCGGAAGTTTCCTCATGAGCTTCGGCGAGACTTACAGGCTTCCACGGCGTGGAAAATGTGTGTGGATAAAGACAAGCTAGTCATGACTTAATAAAAAAAGACTTTGAAGGAGACAGTAGTTTAGTTTGCATTTGTAAGATAAGCAAGTCATGAGGACTTAAAAGACTTCCAAAGGAGACAATAGTTCATTTTTATGTAACATTTGGAAGATAAGCTAGTCATGCCTTACATGACCATGATCGTGGGGTTATCTATCCTTGTGAAAATTGTATATTCCAGCAGTCCTCCTGATGATTTCATGTTTAATGGATACCCACTGAAGTTGGGTGGAACTGCAAAGCTTGATTCCAATGGCCTATTCACGCTAACCAATGCTACAATGCGAGAGATAGGTCACGCTTTCTACAACTTTCCCCTCCAATTCAAGAACTCCACAAATGACGGTAGTGTCATCTCCTTCTCTACGACTTTCATCTTTGCAATTGTACCGGAGTACCCAAGACTTGGTGGCCATGGATTGGCCTTTGTTGTTTCACCTTCCAAAGAGCTCCAAGGAGCTCTATCTAACCAATATCTTGGGATCTTCAATGCTACCAACACTGGGCTTAGTTCAAATCATATTGTTGCTGTTGAGCTAGACACCGTCCAAGACTTTGAATTCGAGGACATAGATGACAACCATGTTGGCATCGATATTAACGGCTTGAAATCAATCAAGTCTGCTAGTTCAGGTTACTTTCCTACACGTGAAAATGATACCTTTAATGATCTAAACCTCAAAAGCGGTGACCCAATGCAGGTTTGGGTGGAATATAATGGAGTAGACAAGCAACTTAACGTTACCCTTGCTCCAATTTATGTACCCAAGCCTGACCTCCCACTCTTATCGTTGACGCGAGATCTTTCACCAGTCCTGCATGACTACATGTATGTAGGCTTTTCAACCTCCACAGGTTTACTTGCCTCATCTCATTACATACTAGGTTGGAGTTTTAAGATGAATGGTCAAGCTGAACCGATTGACCTGTCTCACCTTCCCAATATCCCCGGGACACCACAAGTGAAAGAAAATAAAAAGAGAATGTTGGCATTGGCAATTGTTGTTCCCTTCATAGGACTTCTTGTACTCCTAGTCCTCACCTTTGGTGCTCTGCTAATCATGAGGAAGAAAAAGTTCACGAAAGAGCTGGAGGATTGGGAGTTCCAGTACGGCCCTCATAAATTCTGTCATAAGGTTCTATCCATGGCAACAAAGGGTTTCAAAGAGAAAGAACTTCTTGGCAGGGGAGGCTTTGGTAGGGTGTACCGGGGTGTGCTACCAACGTCGAATATACATGTTGCCATCAAAAGAGTTGCCCATGATTCGAGACAAGGAATGAGGGAATTTGTAGCAGAAATTGCAACCATAGGCCGGCTGCGCCACCCAAACTTAGTCCGCCTCCTTGGCTATTGCCGGCATAAGCAAGAACTCCTCTTGGTTTATGATTTCATGCCCAATGGAAGTCTAGACAAGTTTCTTTATGGCCAACCCAAGGGGATGCTAAATTGGATGCAAAGATTTAAGATCATCAAAGACATAGCATCAGGCCTCTTCTATTTGCACCAACAATGGGTACAAGTTATCATTCATAGAGATATCAAGGCCAGCAATGTCTTGATCGACAGTGACTTCAATGCAAGATTAGGAGATTTTGGGCTTGCCAAATTATGCAATCATGGAGCCGATCCTCAAACCTCTCACTTGGCAGGTACTCTCGGCTATATTGCACCTGAGCTGGCTCGTACTGGAAAAGCAAATACAAGCACGGATCTGTTTGCATTTGGGACATTCATGCTAGAGGTTGTCTGCGGTAGAAGGCCGGTGGAACATCAGGCTTCTCCCGAGAAGATAATTTTGATAGATTGGGTCTTTGAGTGCTTGGAAAGGGGAAACATTCTTGAGGCCATTGATCAGTGTCTTGGAACCGAGTATGTGGTTGAGGAAGCTGAGTTGGTGTTGAAGCTCGGGTTGCTTTGCTCACATGCTGTGGCTGCAGCTAGGCCGATCATGTCTGATGTCGTAAAATACTTGGAAGGTGAAGCTCAATTACCTGATAACTTGAGTGATATAATTAAGTCTCGGGATTTCAGTGAAGCCACAAATGGACAGGATGTGGCACCAATTTCTGTTCCATCAGTAACAATCACAGAGCCATTTGTCTCTAGAGGCCGTTGAATTACTTGATCTCTTTTAACAGCAGCTGTTCTGTAAGTTCTGAGCTATTTTCTAGATTATTTAGTCATCCAATGGTTATCAGCAAGTCTTTGTTCATCTAAATAAGTATATAAACTCTGCCTTTCGCAATTTTTATTCTCATCACTTTCATATCCTTCTTGAACTCAGTGAATCTCAGTGAATCCCATTCATGCTTCCACTACCCCAACATGCATATCCATCAATGAAGTGTGGGGATGTAAAATGCTGTTTAAAATTAGATATCCAATGTTATTGGTTGCAGGCTGGTGGTGAATATGAAATTGCAGATGTGAAAGCTCCCAAAAGCTACTATATACTCTGCCTCTTTTTATACATATCAAAAACCAAACTATCTAATGAACATTGGTTGTTGTCTTTGATTGCCTCCATTTGTTATTGGTGGGTCGGTGGACCTGATAAGTACTGTTTACTCAACGCTACTGTTCACTCTAACACTGGGTCTAATGGGGAGTTTGGGAGGGCCTCCCCCAAGGGGAGGGGGGTTTACCTCCTGGCCGAAATTTTTTTAGGTACTTTCGTAATTCTCATGTTTCTTCCGTGTAACTCTAGTTTTATACTTATAAATAGATGAGGGAGGCCTCTTTTAGGTCAAGAGAGTTGCATTTTTCTGATCATAGTGAAAACCGCAGCAATCGTGGACGTAACCCTATTCTGGGGTGAACCACGTAAATCCTTGCGTTCTTATGTGTGTGATTTATTTGATTTGTTTTTTTTTTTTCTTTTTTGTTTGTTGTTTCGTGTCTCACCGATCTTAGTTAAGAAGGATTAATTCCTAACAGTTATCAATGATTTTTTTTTTCTATACATATTGGATGTACTCACAAAGCTACTGAACTAAAACATTTGTTTGTCATTGCTGAACATAATGCAGAAGTAAACTTATCATATCAGGTAACAATGTATTAATTAATTGGAAAACACTATAGTACATTACTTCAAAGAGTACTTTATAATTAAAAAGAAAAATGGCATAATTTTAATTTTCTAAGTCATAATTAAAAAAAAAAATGTTATAACTAAACATAGCATTAGACATAACTAAAAAAACTTATGAATCATCACTAAAATAATATCAATGTCATAACTAAAGAAGAAAATAACATAAATAGGGATGCATATGGTACACCTTTTTTAAAGGGGTGTATATTTGAATTTCCCTAATTAATCATTCAATAATTAGTTGTGGCAACTCACCAAACAAGTTTTTTGGCCCAAAAATAAAAAATAAAAATAAAAAAACAAAAAACTTGTTCTGTTTTATGAAAACAAGAAACAAGAGACTTGCAACAATGTCAAACAACTCCCTAGAAATCATTTGTTAATTGTTTGTTGCCAATCTATTATTTATTGAAGCCAAAAGGAAAGAATAGAAGAAAGGGAGATGAAAATATATATATTAAAAAGCTTAATTATATTTTCTAATTATAATTTTATATTATTTATAACACGATTTTACAAAACAACAATCATATTGGTTCGGTAGAAAATTTATTAATTTTATTTAACTATTTTGTAAACTAGAGAATTGTATTAAATTAGTTGGAATTTGGAATAGTAAATATATTCCACAGAGAAATTTACAATGTTTTGTGCACCCTTTCAAATGGTGCACGTTGTAAAAAAGTTATGATTTTTTATTATGAACATTATGATTGTTTGTGATGTGTGTTATGACATTTTGTAGTAAAGTTATAAATAACGAATTTATGATGTACACCCTGAAATTAGGAATGATAATGTTATGACATTTTGTGATTTTTGTTATGACACTTTGAGATTTTGTTATGACATTTTTTAGTGAAAAAAAGTTATGACTTTTGTAATGAAAAAGTTATGACATTTTGGATTTAAGTTATGAAATTTTGTAAAAAAATTATAAAAGGCATACCATATGCACCTTTTTAAGGGTGCTCATTGTAACATCTCCCACTTACCATGCAAAGGGAAACACTTGTGCTATTATCTGGTTAGCTATCTTTCTTGTGGCAAACATTATCTAAATGGATTTGCTTTCTTAAAAACAAGATCCTCAAATTAACCTCGAGATATAATGAATAAATGGAAGGTCAAAAATAGTTGTATATGGCATTTAAAATCTTCAAACTAAGATGGGGAAATTAAAAATCTTAAAAATAGTTGTATAGAGTTGCAAAATTATTTGGAAAATTTGGCTATAAACCCCCTTTACCTTCCTTTCATTGTTAAAAGGACTAAAAAAAAAATTATACTTTCTAAACCCCTTCATAATTATAATGTCTTACATAAAGGACAAATTTATTATTTAAATATTTTATATGACTATTATACCCATTCTCTTCCCCACTCTCTTCCTTTCCACAGATGGCCTCTTCAAGAAGACCGGCGAGCTCTGCAACTTGTGCGGCACCGAAGCCGCCGTCATCACCTTTTCCAACGCCGGCAACACCTTCACCTTCGGCAACCCCTCCATTGACTCCGTCCTCGACCGTTACCTCTCCATGACTTCATCATCCTCCAGAGCCTCTGCAAGCTTCTCTTCCCTCTTTCTATATAGGGTTTCAACTCAAATCTGTGCACCATGAACGATTCCGATCTCTAATCTCCCGAGATATATAGATATATATATATGGGCTCCGAAGTTTCCCAATATATA